GGTCATATTCTTTCTTTCTTCGGGTTGTTGGGGGGTGTTTGTTGGGGGGGGGGGGGGTGGTTATTGCAGTTTGCAGTCAGGTCTGTTCCCGAGGGATTCCGTGCGTTTCTACTCGGCCGTTCATCGGAAATATTCTCTTGCTTTGTCTATCGTGGCAATGGGTCTTATATGGTCGAATGTATCTTATACATGTAGCTTAATCAAAGTTGTATTATTCTGTGACGTCAACCACCCCTAACATCGCGAGCGTAGCGAATACTTCATGGATATCTCGTGGGACAAATGATTCAATATCAATGATACGAGTCATAATGCAAGCCTTGGGTGATGCATCCTTAACAAACGTAGCGAGGAAGTCGATGTGCTCCTCGTCTCGTAATCCTGCACTGAGACTGTGGGACGGGTTGAAAAGCACTCATCTTCCGATCAGGATGGCCTTTCGTGCTTATATAGACTTGTTCATATCTTAGCGACCTCGGTGGTTTATATTGTCTTGCCACGTTTTTGCAATGTTATCTTTTTGAAATGAAATCCATACTTGTCCACGTATATATATATATTTCCAGCAAAATGTCAAGACATGCCCCGATATCATTCAGTACGTGACCTTTTACTCAAATAACATTCTTTTATACATACTAGAATTGAATACCTCCAATATCTATAAGATCTATAAAATAGACGGCAACCTTGATTGGGTTGATGGCTGTCCCCGCTTATCGCGGAACAAACAACCTCCAATCCCTGCGAACTCCGAACACCTCCAGGGCTACATTGTGGAGATCTAAACAACCTCAATTCGACAGCTCACACAATTTACCGGAATACCTCGAGGCATACCAAAGCGCCTCTCCGCCCCTTGCTTCTCCGGTCACGCTGTCCGTACTGGCGCCACACTCACCATGTACGCTCCATCTGCTCATTGAATCGCACAGCAACTAACATGTCTGGCAATACTAGGGGCGTCTTCTCTCTCATCATTATCAACAAAGCCGGCGGTCTTATCTACCAACGTGAGTTCCAGGCTGGCCTGCGCAACCTCTCGACAAATGACTACCTCGTCCTAGCTGGCACCTTTCACGGGTAAGCTGCCAACACCATCTCTCTCCTGGAACACCTATTTGACTGGGATTTCACAGTGTTCACGCCATCACCCGCTCTATCACACCCAAAATCCCCATCTCCCAACCTGCTCCCTTCCCCGCAACCTCTTCAACGGGCACCACCGTTCCTGCTGCCTCCGGTTACTCTTACCCAAACCCCGGTGTACCAGTCTCCGGCCTGGATTACCTCGAGACCGACAAGTTTCGAATGACTTGTTTCCAGACCCTCACGGGGACAAAGTTCTTGTTGTTTACGGATCCCTTGACTGGCCACGTGGACACAATCATCCAGAAGATCTACGAGCTCTATGCGGACTATGTGATGAAGAATCCATTTTATCAGATTGAGATGCCTGTGCGATGCGAGGCATTCGATCGGCATCTGGGGGCGTGGTTGAGGGGGAGGACATAACCCCGGCAGAAGATGGGACCACGCAAAAAGGGGGTAGACATCATGACTTTACGAACTAGATACGTTTTGTTCCTGTACTTGTGTCCGGATATCACTCCGTCTCGTATAATACCAAATCACATAATATATTGCCCTTGCACAATGTAGAACGTACCCGAAAAGGGCCGACTCTCGAGATACAGGACAAAAGCGGAAGCAAACGCCGGGTATGCATCACAGTCATATTCAAGTATCCGGACCTTACGCGGTGTCCATCTTGTCCTCGTCCTTCTTATCTTTGTCACCGCTGGACTCGCCATGGCCCTCTTCGGGGATATTGCCCAGCTGCGTCTTGCCTTCCTGTTCTTCCCGCTCGCGCTTTTCCTTCTCCTGTCGGTTCTTCTCGTCCTCCATCGATAAGCGCAGGGCGAATGCGAGCTCGGGGTCGTTCTCCGCGGCATCATCGAATCCAAATCCACCAGCCTCGCCTTCGCCGGCACCTCCGACGTCGGCACCCTCGCCAGCCAGGATCGGGGTCAGCTGCAGCTGATCGCTGAGAAGATGGGGTCCCGGCGGGATGATGGCGAGGTGGGAACCATCGCCGCTCTTGACGTTCTCAACGAAGGCCTCGAGTTTCTTGGTCTGGTCGGATTCCAAATCTCCGAAAGCTATCACATCGATCGATACGTTGTTCTTCTTCATCTTCTTTGCGAGCTTTACGAGGGTCTTCTCATCTTCTTCGATGGGCGAGCAGGAGAATACGATGATACGTTGACGCTGGGTCTTTTCCATGCGGTGCTTGAGTGCCAACTAAGATACATCAGTATTAATTAGCTATTGGACCTCGGGGATCGGCTGGAAGAACTTACCGCTGCAACCTGGATGGTTGAGCTGAGATGAGATGTGCCGTGGATCTTTGTCCGGTGTAGACCGGCGAGGATTGCGCCAAACTCCTTTGTGAAGGTTGACAACACCTCGGGACCCTTGCCGCCCATGCTCATAAGGCCGACAGCTGACTGGGGGTTTACACGCGTCTTTGCACTGTGAATGATGCTAACGGCATCGACTTGAGATTGCCACCGGGTGGTTCTGTGATCATTAAATGCCATTCACGGATATAAATATATTGTCATCGGATGTACTCACGTGTAGTCTCCATTGCGACTGCTTTCGCTGTTGTCGACACTGTAGCTTGGGGTCAGCAGAGTAAGCTAATATGGAGGATGGACAATGACGGACATGATCATAGTAGCTTCTAGCGTCATGGTGGCGGGATTAAAGGGAATTAACGATGTAAAGGAGGGCAGCACAGCGAATGAATAGGAGATCGGCGTATGGGAGATGAAGACGGATGACGAAGGCGAGGTGGAAGCTCTGCATTCTGCCACAGCTCTCCGCCCGAGGCACGCTGTTTGTTGTGGTCCTCCTTTGCTCCGCACCTTAACTTTAGCCCTTGTACTTCGACACATCCCAAGTCTATACCCCTTGAATTCTAGACAATGCCTGCTACCAAACGCAAGTCCGACGCAATGGACGTCACGCCTACGGGCAGTCCTTCTAAAAAGATGCGCCTGACACAACGCCAGAAACAGGCGCTAATGGACAATCTACAACTTGAAAGTGTGTTGCGTTGTGGGTTTATGGTGTGAACATGGGACTAATTTTACAACAGTCACTGAGCGGGCACGTAAGCTTCGTGCTCAATACGCCCTTCAGGCAAATGACCTCCGGGCGCGCATTGAGCGACGCGTCAATCGGATCCCAGTCTCGCTACGCAAGGCCAACATCGGCGAGCTGCTCGAAAAGCACAATGCCGCCGCAAACAAACAGCAGGTGGTATCGCCTTCCCGAAAATACTCGCCTGTCAAGGTATCGCGTAACATCGCAAGCATCTCCGTAGACCCAGAGACCTCTACCACGCGCGACGGTAGAGCCCGGAGGGGAAGGTACGAGAAGTCACAAACCCAATTTGTTTCCCTGACTGACAAAATGTGTAGTCACGATGGCCAATTCTCTGACAAAGAGAATGCCCCTGCCGGTCGCGAGCCCGAACTCAAGAACCCTAAGCGTCGCGTGAAGCCAGCCGGACCAGGCGGGGCCTCACGCATGGCGTCTCAGGAAGTACGGGGCAACGAGAACCGGATTCTCTCTCCTAAGTCTAATAATTCCCGAACCTACCCTCAGTCACCCTTCCGTGCATCCCCCGAGAAGGGTCAACCCTCATATCTGGCGCGCCCTACGTCACCGTTAAAACCGTCCAGTCCGTTGCGATCACGCGGCGCCACTGTGTCTGCAGTGAAGGATCAGCGGCCTCCCTCACAGGCCCAGAGAACTACCACCCGCGCTGCTACAGGACCCAAGACTATTCGGTCACCTTTGCCACGCCCGGCGACCCGACAGGGCGAGCGTAAGAATAGCACAGGGTCCACTACGTCTTCAGGTACAACAGTAACCAAGGCCACACGGACTGGTACTGGCGCGAGAAAGGCCACGACAGCATCTGCTGCAGCTGCCAAGAAGCCGACTGCTCGCATGCAGGCTGCATCAATGGCTGTCAAGAATGCCCCCACTACTGCTGCAATGCGCAAGACTACCGCTCCGGCTGCGACTGAAACTGTGACTCGGACTCGAGCGCTGCGCAAGCGTATTTAGAACTGTTTACATCAACGCACAGAGCTGTCTTTTTTGGAGTTGGTTGGGATTTTGGGATTTTGAGCATGGGTGATTGCAAGCTCAGCAATGACCAATTTGAGCTTGGGTGCTGTCTTTTCTTGTTGATTCTTCGGCGCGATATCATAATAGGTGTGTTCCTGCTCGACTCGAGTATACATTCATGGTTTTTGTTCGGATGTCTGAATCAAGTTCTTTCAAATCAATACTAAAGATAATACCCCGTCTTCATTGGTTGAGTGTAACCAGTCCGAAAACCATCCCAGGGCAAATACGAGACCCCTGTCATTCCCCTGCCAATAAATTGGACTGCTTTATCCCCATCACACCGCTCTTCCGGCGAGTTCATGTCAACTCCTGTTCTCCAACTATCATAACACGGCCTTCGCCTCATACCGAGCGCACTAGTTTCCATGCTTCCAGAATGGAGATCATCCAAGAGAGTGAGACGTTCCAAACTGTCGATGGCAAACTCAAGTTCTGCTGGAAGAGTTTCTACGTGCGTCAAGACGGCATTGTATACTACGGGTCATGGGACGATCGATGATCGAAATCGAAACCTACCGATATCAGTCAGTTTAAGAAGTTGACGACAATCAAGACAAACGAAAGAGGTCCCAAAGTTCAAGACACATAAGCTGTGGCATGAGAGGAAGTCTGTTATCTGAAAGCGCCTGGCATAACCGATTTCATGAATCCAGACCTAGAGGAGGACATTCAACACGAGCTTGAAGTGTATGAAGTCCTTCAGAGACATCCGCACCCAAATATTGCTACTTACTACGGCTGTCGAGAATGGTCGGGCTACTGGTCTTTGCTTCAAACGATACAAGGACAACTTGTTCTGGAGGGTCAACCCTGAATACCTGAACAAGAATATGTTTCGGGCTAGTGGTCGTGAGCGAGTCGATGATTCTATCAAACAGGACTTCCTTGGGATTCTCGAGAGAATCAAGCACCTTCATTCTCTTGGCCTTGTGCATAACGATATCAAGCCGGCCAATATCACGCTTGATGAGCATGGTGTGCCGGTGATTATTGATTTTGGGAGTTGTCGGAAGACAGGGGAGTCATTGGAGACCAGCCGAGTTGGACAGACGGACGGGTGGCATGATCCAGCGAATGGTCTTGTCTTGGAGAAGAATGATCTGGATGCCTTTGAAGAGTTGAAGACTTGGCTGTTTGGTTCTGTGGATGATGCATATTTGTTCCACGAGGAAGATCAGTTGAAGGAGTGATAGATCATGAGATTTTTCCATAATAACGTTGACGGTAACACCACGAGAAGCGATTCCGGAGCATATGAGTTAGTCACCTCTAAGCAGCCCAATGACCCTGAGCTGCACCTCCGTAGAGACGCCATTTGGGGTCTCGGGTGATCATCGACCAGGCCTGCTGATTCTCCTGACCCTGAGATAGATTCTAGGACAGCCGAATTCCAACTGCACCGATGCAACAGCGAAGACCAAGGGTCATCCCCGTATTCATCCAAATCTCCAGACAGACAGCTACAGTTAGCAGAGGGAGAAAACATCGGCCTTGGCTCTGTGAATGGTCGAGTCAAGTCGCTACTATAGAGCCAAGTGGCAGCTTCAGACTTCCCCAACACTACTACATCTATACCACCGAGCGTACTGTACAATAGTATTCGTCAGCAGTTTTGGGCCTATCCTTGAGACATACTCGCTTATTCTGCTCCAGCTCCTGTCAATGCCCACTGACAGGTCAACTCAATCCACCCTTGGATACTGGAGCACACATCTTAAGGGTGCCTGTGGCCTGCCTCATTGAAGCGTACGGGGGAAAGGTAGGTAGCAGGCCCAGACTAGTAAGTCGGGCAGTATAGAAATAGTAGACTATTAAATCTTCTGCTTGCCACCAGCCTCTAGTTAGAACTCATAGAATAATATGTAGATTGCTTGTGAAGCTAATCTCCACGAATCATACATTCTATGTACAAGTTCAATGTGTGAATTTGACGACGTGTATTACCTTTTTTATCTTACTAAATTATTGCTCTATCTTATATAAAGTATCAATTAACATAGTGATACGGATCATATAGAGCTAGAACATATAAATGCAAAGTTACTTTTTCATTCAGGGGCCGTCCACGAATACATGTATGCAAGGGTCTACAGTATCTCTTAGCAACGCAACTACACAGCACAGATATCGTGGCAATCATGTTGATTGGACAAATAAGGAAATAAAAGTTCCGTGGTTCTTGTTAAGCAAAAACCCGCGGGAGAAGAATCAGAAGAGAAGAAAGAAAAGAAAGGGTCTAGGTATAGCCGTAGCCTGGCCCACAAAAATAAGAACGAGCATGCTCGGAATCAAAAGCCAGAGAGAATGGAAAAAACAGGACATTTATGCCCAGAGGGACAGGTATGGGTATGGCTGATCCCTCGAATCAGATGCAAATGAACAAGGAAAAGAACATGGGCATCCCAGCCACTATAGAGATAGAGAGAAACAAAAACTAATCAATAGCGACCAAGCAGCTTGTTGATCACTTTTAGGGAATTTTTCATGGAAAAAAGGAAAGGGAAAACTCCGTCAACCAGCCCTAGCACTCGACGAAAAAGAAAAGAAAAAGAACGCTAAAAAGGTCCCAAGAAACGAGAAACGAAAACAACCCACTGGGAATGAATCAGGCGGATGGATGCAAGTCGAGGTCGGATGGTGATGTATCACAGTATTGCAGTTGTGTGGAGTATAAGGAGATCCAGTCTACCCAGTAACACCCATGGCACCTGCACTCGGACGCGGCCTATATGCCACATTTGATGGTTGGCCATCAGGTGCCCCTGCAATTGGTTGGCTACCGTTGCTGGTGCTACGGTCACGGTGATACGCTGCTTGGGGAGGACCGAAATCCAGCCCAGTCTGGGCGTTGGTGCTTGCCGAATGAGAATGTCCGCCGGGCCCGGCGACATGGCGAACCGAACTTTGCATCTGCCAGGCTGCATCCTGAGATGGATCGGTCTCAATACGCGCGGAAGCTGGGGTGCTGTTAGTTCGGTTCGGGGTGGTAATCGTGAACGTCTCGCCACCATTCTCCGGTTTCTGTGAAAAGCTGCCTCGAGCAATATCGCCATATCGTTTGAGTATTTCCTTGGTAGTCACTTCGGCATTCTCCCTGAAAAGGTTCGGATCACCCAAGACCGACTGTAGGTCTTCTGGAATCTATTGATAGAGTCAGCACAAGTTTAGCAAGACCTTAACCTGGGTAACTTACTTCGCAGAATACATCGTTATACGCGATCAGGGCGTTGACAGCCTCGATGGACAAGAAGCTCTCCTCCACTGTGCTGTTTTTGGCATTAGGGTAGAGGATATTGGGCGTGATGACAGTTGCAAGATTGTGAATGTCCATCTTACTTCCAGACTCCTCATCCACATGCGAGAAGGATGATGTCCAGTTTAAGAAGGCAAACAGGACTTCCATCGTATCACGATGGGCTTTGGGGAGCAGACAGCATGTCAAGTGAAGTAGTCGCCTTTGTTTCTCCGGGTCCTCCATTTCTGTGACACAGGTTAGCTTGCACGATCAGACCGATACCCATAACATCAAAACTTACTTTGTGAGATGACAAAGAGTCTATGCAACTTGAAAGTCAAGAGCGGATCGGGCATTTCGCGGAGGAACTTCTTCAAGAGAGCTGCGATCTGCACAGGAGTTTCCTTTGTCAGATCAACTTGCTCATACTTAGTGTCGATTAGCTCCGCGGTATCCTTCAATCGGCGGATATTGCCGTTCTTTCGGAAGACACCCTCCACAGACATGTCCATCTGTCGCATAGCACAAACAGAATCATCGACCAACGTCGGGATGCGGAGAGCCCCGGGGCCAACACCGTGACTTGACTCTGTGCCCTCCTTCTCGACCAAATAATCCAGACCGACACCGAAGACACCCTTCTTCTTGTTGCCCTTCTTGTTGTCCTTGAATGCACGGCCAAAGATGTTCCATATAGTAGGTTTGCGCGACTCGATGAGAGAAAGTAGCTCCTCCATGCTGAAATAGCCCTCTACCAACGGTTCCATCTGCAGCACAGCAACGTGGCGAACGATGAAATATTCCAAAGCAGTTAGTTCCGAGAAGTACCGCTTGGTTCGGGTTGGCTCCACGAGGGCCTCCAAATTTCCACTAGATACTCCCCGCTGGTGGCCCTGGTTGTACCTGGGCATCGGCTCTGTTCCCCCAATGAGCTTGGTACCAGCATGCCTGTAAGCATTAGGTCGCTGCTCCTTGGCTTGCTCGGCCGCAACAATGCGGGGGATGTCATCCAACGTCAGAGCATCCTGGGCCCCAAAAGTTAGATCGGTAACGGGTTCGCCGTTGGCATCCCGTTCTTCAACAATCTGGAAACCATGGCCCCTAGGGTCACTGCCATCATTGCCAGATGAACCCGGTCGAGCACTTCTGCCTTCTGGTCCATCAATGATTCTGGATGCGCGGGCCCGTTTGTATGTTGTGGATAAGGTTCGCTCGTTGCGAATAGAGCGCAGCCGACGCATCTCGCCGACAGTCTGCTCAAGGGATGTTTCTTCAAAGCCATCTCGCGAGGAACCGCCATATGACTGGGAGCGTGTGTTTGCCCGGCGAACCTGGGGTGTGACTCGATGGCCGTCTTTGTTGTCATAATCATTAAGGTTGGGGTCGTCTGGGGCGAAGCAAGTTAGACAAACTGCCGGCGGCATGGGGGTAATGTAAAAATGTCCTACCTGATGTTTGAGGCAAGGTTCCCCCAGATCGAAGTACGGCGAGAAGCCGAGCGAGTGCCACTTTCAGTAAGAAAACAAATTGCTGCAATTTTGAAACTGGAGTGAAACCGCCCTTCACAGTGGGGCCCAGTTTCATCCGGTGGGCGCAAGCGGCGCAGTAAACTTGCTCCTCGCTGCCGCTCCACAATGCGTCTTGGAGATCAGCGGTCAAATCCTTCTCACAGGATTTGCATGAAAGATGAGGCGGCTTGATGTGCCAACGATTCTGTCCCCACTGAATACATTCGTCGTCAATGGGTTCTTTGCAGGCGATGCAGCAATCTGAAAGTTGATCGGCCAAACCTTCTACCCCAGCCATCAGGTCGACCGGTGTATCGTCATCTTCGCGCCCTGCTAATGACTCCAGATCACGCAGGCGGTCCAGGAAATTTTGTAACCCGTCTGGCGCAGACTTCTCGCGTTCAAGTTTGAGTGCACCTTGTAGACCGATGCGGATAAGGAGTTTGAGGTAATGAGCGAGACCAGTCACCAGAGACAGGAGTTCCTGGGTGACGCCAAGTTTGCGTACCCCGGTTTCTTGGGTTTTCGATAGAAGGGCGAAGAAAGCGACAATCTTTTTACAGAGAAGTTTGGCTTCGCGGCCATAGGAAAGTTCTGGTTCGAAAGAATCAGTCGTCGCTTCCGACAACATGGAATCAGCTGTGCGAGACTTACCTTTTAACTCGTGGGATTTGATATAATCCGCTAACTGATCGACTGCACCGAAGAGGATTTCCACATGTTCAATGAAGCGCTTGGCTACAAGAACACCGTCGATGTAAGCACCGTTGCTGACATGAAGCAGCATGTCTGAGATGCAAGCGGCGGATGATTCTTCAAAGGTAGAAAGGGTGTTCCAAATATTAAAGACCTTCTCTTCCATAATATCTTCCTCGTCGCGAATGCGCTTGCGCTCATCTTCGTTAGCGTCCTCATCCACCGGCGGGGGCTCCCATGTCTGACCAGCAGGGGATAACCGGACATTCCAGAACTTGTGGATCATATAACATTCGGGGTGCCAGTGTTGATTTTGACCGTTGCGGAAGATTTCGACAAACTGTTTTAGGATTGCAGTGTGGCACCCATGGCAACGCTGGGCAAACTGGGTTGAGTAGTGAAAGTGGCAGTAAACCTTGCTCTCGTGCTCATAGTAAGAGTCCTGAGCACCGAAGACGGTCGGACAGACGGAACAGGTAAAGTGCTCAATATGATACTTCCGGTCTAAAGCCGTAATGTATGATCCACGCAGTGCGCCACCGCACTCATGGCATAGGAGGCTAAGTCGTCTAAAGTAATCGGTTTCACAGAGCGGAAATTGGCAGCTTGAATCCTCTGAATCGACGGGGAAAAACTTGGAAGCAACGATCTCGCCACAGTCCTGAGAGGAGTATGAAAGTTAGAGCAGACCCCCAAAGGCCTAGAAAAAGAAACTCACTTCGCACTTGAAACACTCCAGATGAAAAGTACCGCCCAACGCTCGAACAAACTGACCAGTGAGAGATTCACCGCACTTTTGACACAGGCGCGATGAGCCGCCAGGGGACTTATTTTGACGGCCATTCACTCGCGAGCGATCTCGGGGTGTTGAGCGGTCGCGGAAGCCAGCCTGGTCAGGACCCAGGCCACGACTCGTGCGCCCACCATCCTCCTGGTTTACCGGAGTGATTGGGCTTGGGCCTCCCGTTCGTGTTGATGGTGAATCGAACGGAATTAAACTGTCTTCAGGAGATGTGGGCGTGTTTTTGGTATAGCTAGCCCCGTAGCCAGAGGTGTCGACGGTGGGACGGCCGCTGGGATTGCCTGCGACCAGGCTGGCTGGGAGTCCACCGGGGGGCATATTGGTCCCCCGTCAGCAGAAATATGGCGGGGTTTATTGGGTTGAATCACGCCGAACGCTGCATGCAAGTAATCGAGAGTAGGGAACGGGCGAGGTAACGTGGTAAACGAGATTTACGGGAAGTGTTGAATCGAAGACGCAACGCGGTTACAGATCGGCGAGAAATTGAAGGTAGGCTGGGCGCGTACAGTCGAGAGTCTGATTCTTAAATTAGAATCCCATGCTTTGGCTGGTTTAACCGGGGTCACTGTTGTTGCCCAGAGTGTACTCACCCTCACGCCATGTAAAGACACGCGGGGGTGGCTGATGTAGTAGAGACGGGAACGGGGCGCGCGCAAAGGCACTGGAATCGAATTGGGGAGGTTGTATAGAGGGATCAGTGAACGAGGGTCTGAAAGCGCGCGGGCTAGAGGACGCGGGGGCCAGTTTTCGAGGGGATTGGGGAGCTTTCAAGGTGAGACCAACAGAGGGCGCAGATTATCGGGTGACAATCATCCCAAACGCAACCGACGGCTAATTCCAGTACACCAAGAACAAGATAGGAGGAAAAAAGAATAAGGTGCAAGGGCGAGGGGAAAAGAAGTGGGCTGGGGAGGAATGGAGATGGAGATGGCTTGGGCATTTGTTGCCCCCCTAATTAGTTCGGGACCCTGGGTCACGTGGCCAATATACAATTTCCATTTCTACTGGCATATTGGGGAATTACTGGGATATTTTGATATAATTAGGACATATTTGAGATTGAATTAGATCAGAGCATCCGTAAAAATCAATATTGCACAGTGACTGCGTGCATGTAGACACGACTTTGAGTACTCCGTATCGCCCCCTATGTGCCAATAGTGTGCTTTTTATAGAACGTTCTGCAGATTCTTTTTATTATTTTCGTATTAATTTACTATAAGAAGTGATATCTCGTTGTTTGAAAGCGTCTTTTCCCCTCTCGTGTTGTAGCCGTAATACATATGTAGACGCAACCTTAAATAGCATCAAAGGTCTAATATACAGCGGGCTTTTCGGTTGGTAACCTTTGTCCATGTTATTTTGATATGATATCTTTTAAGGATGTTAAAGATAAAATACTAAGAGTATTTACTTTCATGGGAGGCTTCAATACAATAGGTACTACTTCGTAAATAGACATATAGATGTACATATATGTATCTACATGCATGGTATCCAAGTGTTCATTGCCGTGTAATTCTCAGACTTTCCAGGGAAATCCATGGAATTATAATCTCATCAGACTGATCGTTACATTACCTAGGTAGTGGGCTAATATAGGTTGATGTGATTACCCGTACAGTGGAAAGTGGGAGGCTGGAAAATGACGTGGGTAAACAAAAAGAAAACGAGAAAAGAAAAGAAAACATACCATAGTGTGTGGAATTTAACAAAAAGTAAACTCATAAAAGAAAGAGAAAAGATAGAAAATATCGGAATACAAAAGAAAAGAAGACAAAAAAAGATGAAGGTCGAAGGGACAAACTGTTCAAAGTTGCCCGGTTGATTTTGCCTTCTTTACCTCCTCTTCATCCTTCTTTAAGTAAGGACAACCATTCTTGAATACATCATACATCTCTGCTTTCTAACCACCTACTCTTCGCCTTCTACAATACGTGGACACATGACCAGCTCACCCCAGACGTTGCAAGATGGGTGACCAGTGCTCTCTGCGCCTCGTCCGAGTACGTGCTTTTCCAACTATCATCCATTTGGGCAAATTACCCGGATCACTAATTTCCGCATTGCAGGAATTGAGACAGGTCGAGCGGAGCGAGCAACTTGGTATGAGATCTCTGTACCCTCTTCGACACTTCAAGCCATTCTGTATGGAGACCCACATGCTGACCTCGGTACAGCTTTCACTGTCCGTTATGAAGAAAGCAACATCCGAGATATTCAGGCTCTCATCATCGGACCTCCAGGCACCCCATACGAACTGGGATTCTATGAGGTAAGATCCACCGATCCACCATCCAAGGGCCCTAGCACGCTTCTGGAAGTATGGCTAACCAATTGTAATCGCCAGTTCTCCATCAAAATCCCGTCAGGTAAGATGGTCTTCTCTTTCGTAGCAAGCACTTGCTAAATCACAACGGCATAGATTACCCAGCAAATCCCCCGGTAGTGAAAATCAGGACGACCAACAGGGGCCGAACTCGCTTTGGTCCTAATCTGTATGCGAATGGGAAGGTCTGCTTGTAAGTGCGCCCTGGGGACTATTGGATTTATGCAGAGCCTGATACTGACGTTTTCAAGGTCGATCTTGGGGTAAGATTGTCGAACAACATGAATGGCTTTTATGGAGCCTCGCTGACATCGCAACAGAACTTGGCATGGCTCGCGGGGTGAGCAATGGTCGCCTGCACAGGGACTCGAATCCGTTATGCTGTCGATTCAGAGCCTGTTATCATCAAACCCGTATACCCTGGAACCAGGGTTTGAGGACAACGAAAGGGCGAACGACACGGAAAATATGGAGATCTACAAATCCAAGGTGAAGATCGCTATCTTGCTAGAATAAACTTGACAATATTGGCTCACATTTGTACTAGATTCGTCATGAGAATCTACGACTAGCAGTCATCACACCTCTTGAACAATCCTTCCAAACTTCGTCCCCTCCCCGCCGAACGGCACCAAGGGTCGGTCGGGAATCCAGCGCGGAAGAAGATAGTGATGTCGAACTCGAGCCCGAACCGGGATTTCTTACTCGAAGCAAGTTTAACGACTTTTGCAAGCGACGGTTCCTGTGGTACTTCGAGTTCTACCAGAACGCTATCGAGAAAGGTATCGCGGACGAGCCACGCAGACAAGGAACGCCATTCATCCAAATGCCATTTGAAGGGTATGGTAATGCCATGGGCGGAGAATGGAACTACATCGGCCTGCAAGCCCGTTTTTTGGCTCTTCGAGACCGACTGATGGAAGAGACATACAGCTGGCCCTTCGAGGGCCTTGCTCTGGTCAAGGAGGATGCTGGGATTGCGGTTAAATTGAGGGGTCAGCATGAACAGATTGCAGCAGAAATGAACGCTTATCCTCAAGTCATCGATTTGTCACTGGTTGATAGCAACCCGTTCGTCTGGAGACTCACTTATGTTGGTCGCAACGAGTCCAAACTGGAAGGTGGCATCATCAAGATCAAGATTTACATCAGTCCCCGACACCCAGAAGAACAACCTCGGGTATTCGTTGAGTCACCTCTCTATCACATTCGTGTCTCCAAGCTCGGTGTGTTGATGTATCTTCCTTCGCATGCCGAAGAGATTGGCCAACACATCGAGGGCATCATCAACACGCTGGAAGATGACAATCCCCCGTACAACCCCCTCATGACAGTGAACCCAGAGGCGGCCGCTCTTTGCTGGGGTTCGGAACTAGATCGCAGGCTCTATAGGCGCAAGCTTCGAGCATCTCTGGAGGAGTCCTGAGGTGGATTACTTCACTGTCCCGGAATATGCAATATTTGCTGAGAAATGTTTCATACAGCAGGCTACACGATAGTATTCGGCTATCATTATCAACTCTACCTCGCTTAAACTGTATCATTTTCCTGCCATCACTATGTCTTACCTTGCTTGAGTGATATCCTTCAAGATGGCAGAGGGACCGGGGGTTGTGGGGCGCGAGGCTTCAAGTGTCATTTAACACAGGAAAATCGATATTGATATCAAACAGCATCATAGATACACTAAAAGAACGTTTGCAACCTCTTGTGATAAAACATAGGTCCTGTAGAGGAGACAATAATGGAAGACAATATGAGGCACAGCTTTATAGCTAGAATGAATGAAATGAATGGGTCACCATATTTTGACTGTAACCATGTGGTCTGTGCGAAATTCATGCTGTCTGGTGGAATTGAGGGATTTTGGATACTCCTGAGACTGTCTCATGAAAGGAGTTGACTGTGCAAGGCTAGCTAAAGTACACAGTGAGAGTGGGAATAACAATACCGAGAAACTCATTCCATGCACGATAGCAATCATAAATTGTAGAGTGCCCATAGTTGACGTGAGACCTCAGACGGAACAGAAATCAAGGGATCATGGTGCCAGAGATCGATCCAATAATCACAAATCCTCTGAATTTGTCGGCATTGCGGGCGATTCTTAGGACTCCGCCACTTGGCAAGTGTGCGCACATTTGCCCGGATATTAAACATGTCGAGTATGCCCGTTTCAACCCTTGCCAACCTATTCTGCACTTGGCATTCATCCCAGGGCACGGAATAATGATATCCGAAAACGCCTTTCCACCCCCGAATTTTCTTCCGGTCATCGCGCTTCCGGACGATTATTTTTATATCTGCCAACCTTGGAAGATGTTTGCCCCTTGAGTCATATAATTTTGTGGTTGTGTGAAAAGGCCGCTGTGATTTGACCTTTTGTTTGGGACTTTGAAGGTGTCATGTCTCGAAGACACGGATTCCGTTTCCAGGTCATCAAGCCCGAGCTTGTGGTTGTCAAGCCGTGCTGTCAGAGCATCGAGCCGTTTCTTGACGAGAGACACCGAAGTATTCCCAGTAGGGACTGTTTTGTCCACTGTATAGACATTTGGGGGAGCGAGAGGAGCGGCGTGGATAGTGCTAGAAGTGCCATCCCATGCAAATTTGCTCTACCGAAGGTCTCCACCTGAAGGAGTCGGGATTGAGCTTTGAAGCAATGATCATCTTACGCCCAAGGGAAATTTCATACTAGTTGAAGACATATCAAATGAGTTCATTCTGGTAATGTAGATATAGCTAAGAGAATGAATAAAAAGGAGGGTGTCGAGTGCCTTGGAGAAGCAATTCATGGCCGACTTGGTGCCGAAGCAGCCAGACCCATGATTCCGATGAATTTGAATAGAGAAGGTTGCAGCCAAAGGGGCCAATGAAGAAGGTAAAGGTTAAGTGAGGACTCGGAGGTTCCGCGTTTAGAAGCCAGGCGTTCATTCCTTCCAAGGCTGGGCTTATGCGGGAAAAAGACCCATTCGGCTGGTTTGGGGGCATTCTTGAAGCTTTAGATACGATTCTGCTTCTGTGAAACGGACGAGGGCCGAGTGAGCAGCTCCGTGCGCCCCCAGCGTAATAGCAGTCAAGGAATCCTAACGCGCGATATGCGTTGCGCTCCCATTCTGTCCGAACAATGCTTCTCGGACGGTTGCCCAGCGAATGATTTTCCCGGAACTGGAGGACATGTGTAGCTCATCGCTATCCATATACCCGTGGCCAATGTAAGCGACTATGAAAAGAGACTGGCCAGGTGTCTTTGGGCAGTGAAACGTCTCGATAAGATCTCACATGATTTTTTGAAAGTCCAGGCGTGAGTTGTGTCTTGGATTCGATTTGGTAGACCGAAGGGCCGATCTCGAAGATGAAGAGAAAGATGAAGAGAAAGATGTAATGGCTAGATAGCGTGCCTGGGGGAGAAACGAAGGGAGACTGAACGGAAAGAAAGATTCAAGTATTTGCTGCTTGCGTGCTCGAGGCTTGCTTCACGAGGTTTGTTTGGCCGTAATCACGTAAATGACTTACGTCGAGAGGAAGGGCGTCGTTCGAGTTGCGGCCGGGTACGAGCTCGTTCCCAAAGGGCTCTCGTCGAAGATTCACCTGTTGTGGAGCAGGTGGTGTGGGAGCTGGGAAAATGGTTTCGCGTTGTCCTAACATTGGAATCCCTTGTCGGTCATTCCGGTAGAGCTTAAGGACACCTTCAACAGCGGAATTGCTTTGCCTGGTCCACTTAATGATGACAATAACCTTAATTTCTCCGTCGCCGCAGCGCCAAGTTTTATGTTTTTTTTTTTGTGTTCCTCAATTATAAATTGATCCTGTTCTGAGACGATGAATGGCTGCTGCATTATCAATCAATCAAAGGTCTATTAACCTGTTGCAGCCTAACTAGTATCGTAATGGCTATGCAGGCGCTTCTTTCCAGTTGAAGCAAGAACCCATGTCTCGTACGCCTGATCATGCTCCAGTAGAAAAAGTAAGGCTGGTTCTTAAAGAGTGGAAGCACCAGCCTACTACATGTAAACCAAACCTATAGATCCATAGAACCCGTAGCACAAATGAGAAATTCAATGTTAGCACTGCACTGAATACAAAAATGAGCGCGTGAATGCACCTCCACCTCTCCTGTCCTCTTCTCACATTCCATGTAACACCTCCCGGTAGATCCAGCTAAGTCTAGCTCTAGCAAGATCAAACCTCGCTCTCCGACGTCCTCACTTCTTCCTCAATTGGGTGTTCTGTTGTTCCCAGCCATTTGGAGCATCCACCTAGTCCGGCACCGTGTTTGCGAATAGCTGAGTGAGGCTCTCTCCTTCCTCAAAACGTGGTGGCATGCTTTGGTGAGTACCCAGAGTCTTCGGGACCCTGCTCTATGACCTCGAGGTCTTCGCATGGTTCACCATCGGATTCGTCTTGATCAGCATGTTGAAACTGAGCAACTAGGCCGGTCTGGTGCATGAATTTAGCAACGTAGCGGGTTGCCAGCCGGTCTGATACGATAGTATCATAATCGGTCTGTTCTCTCACTCCCGCCTTATACAACTGGTCAAAAAAGCCGTCTTGTCAATACGCCGAAGGTCTTACATTGGAGCAAGACATGCTTCAGCGTTTGAGAGCCGTCTCCGCAGGGGCATTTGTCCGATTCCACTTCATTGATCTTGTGCAAGAAGTGCTTTAATGCAATAGCATCGAGCGCAGTTGTATCATTATCGAAGACCGTGGTTTCGACAAGCCCTCGTACAAGCGCAAGACTTTCTTATTCGGCCGTTCCACTAATCGCTTCGTGGGCTGAGCGGTCCTCTCGCTCTCCTACTGCTTCTTCCAGCAGTCCTGGATCCGCTCACGAGCTTAGCAGCCGCATCGGCAGGCTGCTGCATTATGAGTACGGAGAATGAATTGGGAGGATCAAGGCGCAGAAACAGTAGAGGGAGTTGTTGATAGGAAGTACTTTGTGGCCAATTCGACTGTGAACTTTCAGCCACGAGATGGTCGTGGTGGAAGGAACCAGAAAATGGTTGCCGAAGTTGTTGGATATTCTCATATAAGTTGAACAGCCTTGCAACCCGGTACGGTGCCTTAGCGGCTCGCCGTTTTCGAACAGGTTGAATGTGCTGTCTACCCCAGCCATCACGACCAACGCCAGAAGCAGCAGCTTCACTATCGGAAATGCACGTCCCTCACACCCATCCCCTCATTTCATGACGGGCCTTGAATAGACCACGCAGTCTTCCACGTCAATGTTAAAGCGCATAGAAATTATGTTCTAGGCCTATTTTCCCGAGAAGACACGACATGCTGCATTGCATAATCTTAGAAAAGGATCCACATTCTTCCATAAAATCGCTTACACTGAGGCCCGTCGCAATGAGCGCTTTCATAATCGCATCAACGAGTCGCTTATTCCTTCTACCTCGTTGGCGGAAAGATCATAGATGAATTTGAATTGGGTGCGCAGGTGATCCGCGTAGCAACCAGGTTGCAAGGACCATAGTGGCAGTCAGCCGATCACAGTTTGCGTTCCCTGGAGAGAAGTTCCTGGGATCATCTTCAGCCCCAGCACTCATACTGAGGTTCACGCTTGTTAGGGATATACATGAAGCATACAGGATGAGTGGAGATATGATCTTGGCAAGCAGGCTGGCTTCACATTAAATCTCTACACGTACGTAGTCAAACTAAGCCAATAGGCTAAAAATATACCCCTCAAAGCATCATTACCCTCCAGTCTTTGCTACTTTTTTCTTTTCTGCTTCACGTCTTTTTCCTTATCTCACCATGTCTCCGAGTGGTACTGCCACAGTTTGACGCACTAGTAAACAAAATGGACTGTCTGCCCCATGGAGAGATCACCAGTACGCAGAAAACAGCTGTTATCAATAAATTGATAGTAATACTAAAATCAATAATCCATCATTTGTGGTCATTCGTTGATTTTTTTTTTTTACTCGAGGATCTTCAAACCTAGTTATTCCTTCCTGTTAACCTGTGCATTGGATTGGCGCATCACTTTAGAATGGTCTCCGGGTCGGTATTCAAGTTGTCTGCATGGTCATGGTTGTACCCATTAACGAAGACGGACTTTTTCGAAGAGACTGCATGTTCCATAGGAATATGCGCTTGGTGCAGACCTGTTAACTTGCTGCCAGATTTCAATTCCAAGGCCCACACAGACCGTCCTCCAACGCGTGGTACACATTTTCCATCACCAACCGATGTTGGGGATCCAAGCTGAGAACCTCCGTTTTACTCATTTTGAAAAATGCAGCATCGGAGGCAGTAGCGCTTTCTCTCAGAAAGGAGCCGGACTGGCGTGGAACTATGAAGGTTTTAGTCTGTAACTATGGAATGTGACATGGTGGAGTTTGTGCATACCGTTCCGCCATGGTCTGGGTCTGGATGGTAAAAGCCATCCGCGTTAATTCGGTCACCTGGGAATGTAGTGCTCGACTCTCTAGCTTGTAGGAGTAGCTCCCAAAATTTCTCTGCGTTGGCTGCATCTTGCGGCTAGCGCACGGCAAAGCCCACGACTGCCAAGGGAGCGGTTTCCACCTGCCGAGGATGAAACTCTTTGGAATCCATCGTACGCTAGACTGCATGTATTTAGATGAAAAGATGATTTCGGTAGGTGTTGGAGTGCACAATATGGCATGGGTTCAGTAATCGCCATCGATAAAACCATGGACGATTACTTATGAGTGAACTGAACTCGGCCCTATAACAGGTGTTAAGGTTTGCCGCCCGGGATCGACTGTGCCCAACACCCTCTTGCTTTTCAAACACCGAGTATGAAATAATGTAGCATAGCGCTGGTATGATACCAGTTACATTGAAAAATGGCGTCAGGAAATGAAAAACAGTGAAGATCGGGAATATCAAACGACAATCAGAGGGGCTCCTCAAAAGCTAAAAGAACGATGACTTCAACTAGCATATGTCCTTGGGCGGATCGGGAAGTCGATAAATATCTTTCGATAACTAGGACATCCGACGCATGCAGCCATTGTTGGTATCTATCCCATGACCGACTCCTATCTTGCACGCCATCGCTTCCGGCCAAAGAAATAAATACCTCATGCGCAAACCTTACCCTGCATCGCCTTACCCTGCATTGTCGTCTTCCTCTAGCTACTGCTAATAGAAGAGTTTCTGGCGATACAAGTTGTGGCTGTCGTCCACCAGAGAAGGGAATATGTTCCTTCCCTACGTCATCATATTCCACCTCTGGGTATGGTGCAGCCTCGGCAAAGATACCAAAGATCTTTGGCCCATGGGCTTCTGGCCTGCGACTGTATATGTGGTACTATATGATTTGGTGCTCAGGTTATACGTATTTTCGTCGTATAATATACTCAAGGCTTTCACCCACATTCTAGCACACTAGACTGCATGTGGCTTTGTAACTGTAGCTTCATATCATGCAGCAGTGAAGGATCCTATGGACGCGTTTGTACTGTATATACTCGAGATCAAATTATTTCCATTCTAACTTGATCAGTTCTACGCTTCTCAATTAGATTTATCTCCCGAAGGCCTCCTTCACCCCTTCCATCTGCAATGTCCTGGAATACCACTCCATGTTAATGGGGCATAGCTGGCGCATCTCTTGATAAATAACCAATGCAAATCCCTGGTAAAAGGCCGACGCTGCACCAATATCTGCCAAGCTAAGTTCCGCCTCAGTGGCTATCCATACCCGCCCTTTGAGATGCACCTCGAGACACTTCAGGCTCCGTTGTAGTCTATCCAGGCATGATCTCTCAACTCTATCATCCAAGAATCTTCGACCAATACACCACAGCACGCAGCGTAGGATCACTTCCATTATTTCGTTGTTCTACATGCAGATCCAGTGATGAATGTTGGCTCGTTCTTCTGCCTCGTGACCCAGAAGCTGCCTTTAGCTGGGCCTTTTCTACGAGATACTAGGCGATGGAATCCGATTCGAAAATCTTTAAGGCCGTCAGCCCTTAGGAGTGTAGAACTTCCCCTAGGGGATAGTCTGCTAGGAATCCAGTTGTTTTGTTCTCTGTTCGGAGCTTGAAATCAGGAGTTAAATCTAGTTCTATGCCGTTGATATTTGCAACGGCTAGGACCTAAACACAATCTGCGGAGTTTAGACTTCTTTCGATGTGGCTGATCACAGGATTCGGTAACATATGCCGCCAATGATTCAAACTGGGCTATATATTTGTCGCTCCGGGAATTTCAAATGTACTCTTCACTGAATAGAGCGACGCACAGATACAACCCCTGTTAGCAGGTAGCCCTGTATAGTAGTTCGTACCAACCTTCGGGATACAGCTAATCGAGTTATCAGCTAATAGAATCGCTGCTTATATTAAGGAATACCTTGCGTTACACAAACACATTGTTCACTTCATTCCACTAGATTGAGCGATGTACATATGCAAGCCCTGTCATGGCAGGCAGCCACGCATAGTATCTCGCACCAGATAAACCAAAATCAAGTGCTCACCCAATGGAGCCATCCCTGGAGCGATTTCCGGGGGCCACTCATCACCAAGACTCACGATTGTTCGATCCTTTGCCACAACAACACCGGCTTCTGCATGATGCCCTACCCGAGATCCCTGGTTAGTGGTGTCTGATACATACACTATCGCGATGAGCAAGATCTATTACCTGGAATGGAATGAAGTCAGGCGAGGCTAGCTTCATCTGGTTGCCGGAAATGGTGAGTATCCTCTGTTGGGTTGACCCCTCCAGATCAGGATCAGAGCATATCTCCATCTGGTGCTTGACTATCATTCCTCCATCGGGCTGGGCCTCAATCCAGTATCGACCGGTATAGGCCAGGATGTCGTGGGTTATTGATTTGACTTTCTTGGTAATGGAGGGCATGAGCTGCACTGCCATGTAGCCGTTTGGGGCGTATGTAATGATTCCCCGTGCGTCCTTGCCCATGGGATGGGTTATGCCTCCTCCATCTAATAGCTCGGCTCGGCAATCAACAAGGGACCAGGAACCAAGTATGACGACACTCTTCACGTCGAATTGAGATGGCATCTGGGTGGTCAGACATGAGCGGCTGAAAAGGGCGTGACTTCTTACATTGCACGATTTAAACGTATATCTTTTGTGAAAACAGAGGAGAAGCGAATTAATGACCACAGAATGAGCTATATATAAACAAATATTCTGAACAATAATATCGCCCTAAACCCACCACGTAGCTCGCATACATGCAGTGATGACCTATCAATTTTTCAGTGACCAGGTTAGGATTGAAGTAAGCCTAGTGCTGGCGAGAGTTTATCAATTACTGCAATTCTGAAGCATGCACCATCCTCCGGATACATTCAATTATCTGGGCGACAATGGCTTGGTCCCACGGAATGGAGTGACCCCCCTTGTGCACGACAGTCTCCTTGTCGAATGACTGGCACATCTTGCCTAACATGGTAGACTGTCCGTAGTATGGATCATTTGAACCATAGATATGCGTTGTCGGGAGGCAAAGCTTCCTAGTCTCCGTGGGGCTGTACCGCCGGAGGAGTGGCTTTCCGCCCAGCTCAGGATATCGACCTCGATCTAGTAGCTCAGGGATGGTAGATAGAATTTCAGTCGAGACGTCCTCACCCGTGGCTGCATCCATAAATCTTCCGCTATCCATGACTCGGAAAGGTATCGATCCCACGTCAAACGGCATGCTGGCGCAAAAGAACACCGCACATCCGAACCGCATGTCATCGGATGGGCTGCAAATCAAGTATGCGGCGGCAATTGAGGCCCCCTGGGAAAAGCCCATGATCCCGTCAAACGGGCCATCATGTTCGATAGCCTCGTCGATCATTTCGAAAGCGCCCAGTAGCTGCTCTGCCACAGGGATGTCGAAAAACGAATAAAAAGGTCCTTGGGAAATTCCTTCCACTCCTGGAAAGCCCAGTTAGCGATGGTCTTCCTCGACTCAATGAAATTACCTGGACCGGCTTCCGCTTGGTGATCTCCCTGGAGGAAGGCGAATTCGTATTGAGAGCCCAAGCCATTCTGTACCGCTAAGAGCTGAGTCTCAAAGATTTCCGCACTGGATCCCATCCCATGCAGACAAAGGAAACGCATTTCGGTGGGATTTTGGAAATAAGCACAATAGGATATCTAGAAGTCTGTTTGCGAAAGGCTGCGGCAGATATATTGCCAATTCGGGGCATCTGTAACATAGCATCACATACCGGACCACCGTAAAAGCAACTATTGAGGTAGCTCAGAAAGACCGCAATAATTAAGGTTCCTGCATCTGCTGTGCTTTCTATTTCAGGATCTCCACTCAACGACGCGTCAGGTTCGCCGCTGATCAACGGCGGTCAAGAGCTTTGGCCCTTCAGTGTGCATATCTATAACGTCCAGTACCAAGTATCGCGATTACATGACACGTATAACAGCCTTGGCACTTACAGCTTCAAATTACTCGTTATGGTAAATACGTTGGGAAGGCCGGCCAAATGGACGTGATAAATTCAAAAGATTCAAATCTCTAAGTACATAAGAGTTCCACGGTGACTATCAAAATCAACGTATGATCTACAAGGAGACATTGAGATCACTTCACTCGAACCACCACTTTTTATTCCAATCTCTCGTTTATCATGCATTAGGTTTCAATATGCCAGACCTAAATCGAGATCAGGTCATGCCCATTGCAGTCGTTGGCATTGGGGGTCGATTCCCCGGGGATGCATCAAACCCAGACCGACTCTGGGAAATCCTCCTCAAGGGAGAGAGCACTCTTTCCAAAACCCCCAAAGACCGCTTCAATGTGGATGCATTTTATCACCCGCAAGCTGAGCGTCAAGGCACTCAGAACTTCCACGAAGGACACTTCATGAACCGCCCGATCGATGCCTTCGATGCCCCGTTCTTCTCTATTACACCTGCCGAAGCGAGGGCTATGGATCCCCAGCAGCGGATGTGTCTCGAAGTAGCGTATGAAGCTATGGAAAATGGTAGGCTCGGGGGGCCAGAGAAAGAGAACTTGCTTTCTAATATTTTGCAGCGGGTATACGGCTCAATCGAGCATCGGCCTCCAGCACCTCATGCTACGTGGGATGCTTCAACCATGATTACATGAATCTACTCAACCGAGACCCCGAGAATCTCCCGTTCTATAGCGCGACAGGTACCGAGGCTTCCTGCCTTTCGAACCGGGTTTCCTGGTTCTTCAACTTAGCGGGACCGAGTATGACGGTGGACACGGCGTGCTCGTCTTCGTTGATAGCGCTTCATCTTGCTTGTCAGAGCCTACGTACAGGGGAGTCTGAAATGGTGCGAAATCTCCACTTTTGAGGGCGTATTAATTACTGACCTAGACAGTCCCTTGTTGGAGGTGCTAATATTATGTCCTCTATGGAAATGAACATGCAACTATCCAATCTTCAGATGATCTCCCCTGATGGCAAGTCCCAAACTTTCGATGAGAAGGCTAATGGGTATGGTCGTGGCGAAGGAATCTGCTTCGTGGTCATCAAGTCCCTGGACAAAGCACTCAGAGATAGCGACGTTATCCGAGCCGTGATCCTCAATACTGGAAGCAATCAAGACGGCCACACGCCAGGACTAACCTTGCCTTCGAGAAACATGCAAAAATGCCTCATTCGGAAGGTCTATGAAGAGGCTGGTCTGAGAATGGAAGAGACTGGCTATTTCGAAGCTCATGCAAGTGAGCCGTGCCAAGGGCGGGGAGAACCATGTACTAACCGTCCATAGGGAACAGGGACAGCGGCCGGAGATTCGACCGAAACAAGAGCACTTGGAGAGACTATAGGAAAGTCGAGGTCAGCTGGCGAGCCGCTCTGGATTGGATCGATCAAGTCGAATATTGGCCATCTAGAAGGCGGCAGCGGATTGGCAGCTCTGATCAAGACAGTCTATGTTCTGGAGCAGGGTGTCATTCCGCCGCAGATTTGGTTTGACAAGCTCAACCCGCGGATTAGTCTGGAAGAGTGGAATCTCGCTGTCCCCACGCAGGTCACCCCCTGGCCGTGCTCGGGCCCCCGGAGAGCGAGTGTCAATTCGTTTGGATTCGCTGGTGCAAATGCACACATTATCCTGGAGGATGCGAGGTCTTACTTGGCGAGAAGGAATATTTGCGGTAGGAGCAGCTCCACTGGCTCTTTGGCAATCAGCCCCGTGCCATCCCAGACCTCGAATGATTCTGGTTTTGGACCAGAGCGAGATAAGGAGACCCCGACTAAGCCGTTTCCCCAGTTGCTCGTTTGGTCGGCGCATGAGCAGCCTGGCCTCAAGCGCGTATACGAGTCGTGGAGCCAATACCTTGAGAGTAAAGCGGGCACCCTGAGCCTTCTCGATCGCAAGAGACTTCTCACCGACCTGTCATATACTGCTGCGGAGAGACGAACGAGATTTCCCTGGCGCTCATTCACAGTTTGCTCCATGCCAGAGGGAATTATCAATGGGGCATCCAGGATCCCTCCTCCGGTGCGCTCTTCCCAGAGTCCGCGCGTGGCTTTCGTCTTCACCGGACAGGGGGCGCAGCACCATGCGATGGGTCGAAGTTTGATGAAATATGAGGTCTACTCCACCAGTATGAATGCCGCAGATGCACATCTCAAATCGCTCGGCTGTTCTTGGTCATTGCTTGAGGAACTCTCACACGATGCTGAGTCTTCCCGGGTGGGCTCAGCTGAGTTCAGCCAGCCGCTTTGTACTGCTCTCCAGGTCGCGCTAGTTGACCTCCTCCAAAGTTTGGGAGTCTGGCCACCTGAGGTTGTTATTGGACATTCCGGAGGCGAGACGGCTGCCGCTTATGCGAAAGGGGCACTCACACGAGAATCCGCGTGGACCGTGGCGTATCATCGCGGGCGCGTATGCACCATGGTCCCTGAGCTTGATCCAGAGCTTGAAGGAGACATGCTCGCCGCTGGTATAAGTGAGAACCAAGCACTGGAATATATCAATCATCTCAACTCTGGAGAACTGGTTGTGGCCTGCGTCAATAGCCCCAGCAGTGTCACACTCTCTGGGGATGTACCAGCAATCGTTGAGGCCGAGAAGATGATAAAGGCAGATGGCCATTTAGCTAAGCGACTTGGTGTCAACAGGGCATACCATTCATCCCACATGAAGGCTGTGAGCAAGCTCTACCGTCATCTTCTCAAGGATATATATCCACTACCGGAAAGCTCTGGTGGTCCCAAGATGTTCTCATGTGTCACTGGAACACTGATCAACAACTGTGATCTCGGGGGGAACTATTGGGTAACGAACCTTCTCAGCCAAGTCAAATTCACCCAGGCTCTTGGGGGGCTGATAAGCCATTCAAAAAGTGGAAGAGTGAACCATCGCAAGGGATATTGTTATGTGAGCTTGATGCTCGAAATCGGTCCACATGGTGCCATGCAAGGTCCTATCAAGCAGAATTTGAAAGCAACCGGGGCAAAGTGCACAAGTGTCTCCGTTCTGGACCGGAAGGAAGACGCTGCCCACTCCCTTCTGGAGGCAATTGGTGTTCTCTTTCAGCATGGTTACGACGGTGACATCGCCGCTGCAAATCGTCCAGGTGCAGATATAAGTCCGAGGCTCCTGGTTGACCTGCCACCATTTCCGTGGAATCATTCTAATCGATACTGGCACGAGTCGGCCCTTGTGTCGGACTATCGGTTCAGAAAGTTCCCCCGGAAAGACCTTCTGGGAGTACGGGACAATGACAACAACGAATACCAACTAAGATGGCGCCACTTTCTACGTCTCTCCGAGAATCCATGGATAGAGGATCATCAAGTCGAAAACAACATTATATACCCGGCTGCTGGTATGGTGGCGATGGCGATTGAAGCATGCAGAGAAACAAGTGAAGTTGACAAGATTGCCGACACTTATGAGCTTCGTGACGTGAGGATCAAAACTGCGATTATGGTCCCCAGAGGTGAGGAGGGTGTGGAGACCAGCATTCAGCTTCACGCAAGCTCAGATTCATGGCAAAGGTTCTCGATTTACTCCAGAGTTGGTAGAAGCCCGTGGTCCCTCAACTGCTCCGGTCTGTTGCGAATAAACTACAAGACAGACGGGAGGCCAGCAGGATTTCTCAATGAAGACGAGATTGCCACGGCTGTGTACAAAGCGGAATACGAGCGGGCTGGTCCAATCTGTACTGAATCTCTATCCACACACGACTTCTATGAACAGCAATCGGCACTAGGATTCCAATTTGGCGAGTGGTTCCAAAACGTTCAGGGCATCCGTAAATGCCCAGATCAAATGGTCTTTGCCGTTCGCACTCCGAATATCGCAAACAGTATGCCCCGTTGCTTCACCCATGACCATCTGATTCACCCATGCACGCTTGACTCCCTCATTCACGCGTCCCTTGCCCTTCTGAACAATGACCGGGCCAACGGGCCAGCAGTGCCCATCTCCATCGAGAGAATTCTTGTTTCGGCGGGTATTTCGTCCGATCCGGGTACCGTCTTCCGTGCACACTCGACTGCCCGACCAGACGGCCTTCGAGATTCTAAAATCACTGTTCGTGCATTGACTGGAGAACGGGATAGATTAGCCGTTTTGCTTGAGCATGTCAAAGTCGTGCGTCTGGGGGACAGTCCTGGTATCCAGGATCTGAAGTCGGGCTTGACAAAGATAGCGAGTAAGATGCATTGGGATGTGGACGTCTCCCACCTCAGCCCCCTCCCTTTCCCAACAAATTCCATCGTGTCAATTAAGGCAACCACTTCGCTGGGACGGTTATTTCAGCTTCTAGGACATAAATATCCAGATCTGAATATTTTGCAAGTCGGCGCAGGAAAAGGTCAAATCACAGAGCACATTGTCGAGTCAATCAAAGGAGCCAATGGCGAGTCAACTCCATGGTTTTGGCTATATACAGCCATCGACAGTCCTGGTTTTCTCGAAACCTTTCATAAGAGGTTTCAGTCTTGGGGTCCATACTTCAAAACAATTTCAATCATTCCGGACCGGCCTTGGGAAGAACAGGGATTGAGTGCGAACAGCTACGACTGCATTCTGTTCAATGCGGACAGCCAGGTTACAGCAGACAATGCCATCAGAAACGCAAAAGCATGCCTCAAATATCATGGGACATTGATCATTCTCCAACGCGACATCAGCGACGATTCACTGGCCTTGTGGACAGAAAAACTGCAAAGTCAGCAGTTCACTGGTGTGGAGTTGCACATGCGAGAAGACGCAAATGGGTCGCCCACATTTGTACCCTTCATGGTGTCTCGAGTCCAAGCGCAGTCAAAACAGCTTCCCAATGAGATCCTAATTATCAACCCTCCAAATGGTCATATATCTACGGAGGCCCTTGGGGACCGATTATGGGCTTTGGGGTGAGAACGGAATATGCAACACTTCACGAGACTCAAACAATGGACCTGAAAGGAAAACACTGCGTTGTTGCTTCTGACCTGGCTTGCCCTGTTCTGTTCGATATTGTACCGGAAGCCTTTCTACTGGTCAAGCGACTACTCCTCGAGTCAAAGAGTGTACTCTGGCTTACATCTGGGGCAACGATGGAATGCAGCAACCCAAAGTCAGCGCTGGTGTCGGGATTGTTCCGGGTCATCTGGCAGGAGCATCCAGATATATCTTTGACGACTCTTGATCTCGAAAGTTGTGGAGACATACAGGAAAATGTCGCCATTATCATGGAGTTACTCCGAGCTGAGACATCTGCGCAAATTGATCGCGAGTTCACCATCCGTGACGGCCATCTCATGATCCCACGCATTCTACCGGACCAAGGCCTTAATGATCTTACCTCTACTCTTCGAGGAGGACCCAGGATCGAACCAGAGCCGTTGAAGCAGAAAGGAAGAGCACTTACTCTCGACCTGGGAACGCCGGGGGACTTTGACTCAATTTACTTTAGAGATGACTTGAACTATGAGGGGCCTCTATCCAGCCACACTGTGGAGATCGAAGTCAAGGCAGCTGGACTTAATGCCACCGACGTCATGTCGGTGCTTGATAAAATGATGAATCCTGCCCTTGGTCTTGAATGCAGTGGCATTGTTTCACGCGTCGGTCCAAAAGTCAAAAAATACAAGCCAGGCGACAGGGTCTTCACATGGTGTCCAGGGAGCTTCGCTAACTTTGTTCGAAGCCCGGAATGCATGGTGCAGCGCATGCACATTGGGATGACGTTCCAAACAGCGGCTGCTCTCCCGGTAAGTTACTGCACTGCATATCAAGCGTTGGTAGAGTGCGCCCGACTCCAGACAGGAGATAGGGTCCTCATCCATGCTGCCGCCGGCGGCGTTGGTCAGGCCGCAATCATGATAGCCAAGAACCTGGGTGCAGAGGTCTACGCCACTGTCAGTTCTGAGGAGAAGAAATTCCATCTGATGGAAACATACGACCTGCCACAACATCACATCCTGTACAGCCGGGATTTAAGTTTTTTCCAAGGTATCCTGCGGATCACGGAGGGGAAAGGCGTCAATATTGTACTCAACTCGCTGTCAGGGGAAGGTCTCCGACTGTCCTTCATGAGCGTGGCTCCATTTGGGAAGTTCATCCATATCGGGCAAAAAGACATCGGTGAGTTTGTGACCCATGAGATATACGCATAGTAAACTGATGCACGTAAAATCAAGGCGGAATCTTGACATGACCCCATTTACGAAAAACATTTCCTTCCACTCTGTCAACATTCTAGAACTATACCAAACAAGCCTTTCCTTAGCAGCAAAACTCTTCGGAAGCGCCATGGAATTTTACTACGAATTTCATTGTCAGCCAGCCGGTCCCCTCCACGTGTTGAACTTCTCAGAAATCCCTCATGGGTTGCGCCTTCTTCGTGGTGGCAAGCAAATTGGGAAGGTGGTATTGAAAGCAGGAGATGCTGATATGGTGATGGCAATTCCGCCGCCAATCAAGACCGCGCAGTTCCGGTCCAATGCTACCTATATTGTTGTTGGTGGGTTTGGAGGCCTCGGGGAATATATTGCCAAATGGATGGTGGAGCATGGCGCGCAGCACTTGGTCCTTTTGTCGCGCAGGGGCGCAGATCATCCAGACGCTCGCAAGGTTTTGCAGAACCTCGCGGCAGCTGGGGCAAATGTACAGGCATTTAAATGCGATATCAGCGACATTGAAAGCGTAAAAAAGGTCATGAAGCAGTGGGAGCTGGAGGGGTCCCGTCCAGTTCGTGGCATCATTCAGGCGGCAATGACCCTTGCGGTATATCAACCTGACCAATCAATCAAGTTACATACTGATTTCCTTACTAGGACGCGACATTCAGACAAATGACCCCGAAACAATGGACAATGAGCACTAATACCAAAGCCCTCGGGACATGGAATCTGCACTGCACTTCGCCCAGAGACTTGGATTTCTTCGTGATGCTATCCTCGGTGTCCGGAATTATTGGATGGCGTGGTCAAGGGAACTATGCCGCTGGTAATTCCATTTTTCAAGCGCAAACATGGCTCTTCTGACCTTTTCACAGGAAATACATTTTTGGATGCCCTTGCACACCACCGCCGTGCTCAGGGACTTCCCGCGGTATCCATAGATGTGGGTGCAATTTTTAACGTCGGATATGTTGCGCAAAATGCCAATATGAAAGAGAGCATGCGCTCTCTGGGACTAGTTGGCCTCGCTGGCGATGAACTGATTTGGATTATTCAAGTGGCGATTGCTGGCCACAATTCAACCGCCGCTCAGGTCATACTGGGTCTTGCAACTGGTGGTTATTTAGCATCAAACGGACTTGAGGAACCATACTGGTTCTCGAATTCGAAAGTGAGTCATCTCAGGCAAATTGGAGCCACAGAACAAGGGACAGATATCATTGGCCCAGGATTATCGGAGCAGCTCAACAATGCTCCCAGTATGGCTTCGGCGGCAGAGATTGTGTTAAATACGCTTCAAGCGAGGCTTGCCAAGCAGATGATGGTTGACTTGGAGGATGTCGATGCTTCCAGGCCTGTCAGTAGCTATGGGGTAGATAGCCTGACTGCGGTGGACATTCGAGCTTGGAGCTTGAAGGATGCCCAGGCGGACATCTCAATTCTGGATATTGTGAACACTGCCTCGATTGGTTCTCTGGCGCAAGTCATTGTGAAGAACTCGCGCCTTCTGGCGAGTCGGAAGTTGGAAGATGATGTAGTTAAATGAATTGCTAGGGGAACATTGCCGCCAGGTGCCGCTTCTATGAGCACGCTCAGGCTCGGGCTCACCGGACTGCTCACTTTCTTCATGTAACAGATCAGTAAGCACTCACTGCCACTTTCCTTTTCCTTTCTTTGCCCCTCAACTCTTACCTAAGTGTATACTCTCTTACCTAAGTGTATACTTGCTCTAACTCTATTCCTGACTATATACCTGCCAGGCATATATTCTACTCCCCTTAGAGGTCTAGGCTATTATTTCTACTAATTTATAGTAAAGTATCTAAGGTAATACTCGAGGACTTGATTAATCCTCTCCGTTTAGCTATCGGTTTATATATGAAACGCGCTCAAAAAGCGTAGTTTTATACTAGCCAAGTAGTATAGTCTTCTCCAAAACTTGCTAGTAAATAGCGCTCCGCGATCAGATACGATACCATTTGGTGGTCTAAACCTTAGTTCAACATCGTTATAAAATAACTCTGCCAATTCGGCTGCGTCTATAGCAGTCGAAACTGGGGTGAATAGTGACCATGTCGAAAAATGACCTACAATTACCAATATGGCATCAACTGGCGCCAAAAAAAGGGGTAGAGGAAACTCCTTCGCTCGCGGATCGGGTCAAATCGTGGCAGCTACTCGCACCCCCGGACGTGACCTCAAAGTACCGTGGGAAAAAAATCCACGAAGTGGATACCGCGGAAGAGGACGAGGCCGAGGATCAGGAAGAGGCGACTCCAACGCTCAGAGAAGATCTGGGACAACCGCTCCAAACTCCGATCCAGTGTGCCAACAGAGAAAAGACACCGATAACACCTCGAAAGGGGCCTGCTTCATTTGCGGAGATCCAGATCATTAGGCCAACGGATGCCCAGAAAACAAATTCTAATTCTTCATCTTTGGTTACCCGAGAAGAACAATGGACGGTAAAGGGAAGCGATGTGCGGCAAGAGCCTCTCAACAAGGGGACTCCCTCCCCCAAAAGACCCTCGCAACCTACAGAGGAAACTTATAGAAGAAACCCCTCTTGATAAGCTTTCTCGGGAGTCGGAACAGCCACTCCCCGCAACCGAATCAGCCCCGCATCAAGGGCTCAACGACCCAGAAGACGACGGTGATAACTCTGTACCCACGGCCCCGTTGCCAGGAACTACACAACGACCCCATGAAGTAGCAGGTCTCTCCACCGTTACGGAGCAGCACAAAAATCAGTCATTCTCCAGGAACCCCCATCGACCTCCAGCTAAAAGAGCTGGGAGCAAAAGACCAGAGACTCGAGTATGAGAGCCTACAGCGCTGGCGAGTTGAACATTGGGGGGGAGAAACGTATGGTATTCTTTCTGCAGAGACTAATTCTTGCTAAGTCCAAGTTCTCCCGGAAAGGCACTCTTGTACCTTTTCGTCCCTGAATCGTGCCCGTCACGATGATATGTTCAGCTAGCTTCCGAGTCCTCTTTCAGATACCTGCGGTTGTCAGGATAATCACATGGTCGATCCTTGCCAACCATCAAAGAAGCTCGAGACGGGGAGGTTAAATGTATATCAAGATCCTGGTTCCGCCTCCATGGCGCTTTTCCTTTACAGCTAACCCGAATCCTATCTAAAGACGACTAGCTTTTAATTAAATTAAAGGAAGAGCGGAGCTTACTATAGAAGCGAATCGTAGAGTATTTTCCTAGAAGGTCGGAAGGTTCCCTCTAGGTACGCTATTATATACGCCTTAAGGGTTACAAGGCTAGAAATTCTAGGTATTCTAGGCGGAGTTCTAACGCGAGGAGCGATTCTTTACATAGAGGCGCACCTTACGAGGTAGTTTAAGCCGCGGGTAGTAAGAGTAAAGGCACCGAAGAAGGTGTGTTAAGATAGCGATATAGTTAGTCTACCTCGGCGTAGGTAAACGGTAGACCGCTATTCCCCGGTTTAAGTTAGTAATAGAGTCTTTATTAAATATTAGTTAAATATATCGCTAAGTTGTAGTCTTCTTCTCTTTAGCGCTTCCTCTTATAGAGTCGACTTCCGATACTCAATTATTCTCCTATGCCCTATTCGACGTGGTTTGTTTAGCAATAGTCGAACCTCACCAGGTTTCATAGTTCCGAAGAACGGTAATGGTCTCTCCGCAGAGTCTCCAACTGCTCTGGTATTAAAACACAGCTTAGCCTTGCTTTTATGCTAATGGCGACACTGTTTTCGAATGTAATGTGTGTCTCGTAAAACACGGCCCGCACAGACCACCTGATTATCTCCGCCAACTTCCCCGGCCCCTTTTCACTCAACTCCCATGCCCCATCTCCCTACAAAAAAAAATCACATCATGTCGGCAAAAAGGCGCACTTTAGAGTTAGGCAATGTCTTGGTGGTCGGAGGCTGCGGCTTCCTGGGGTGGCACATTGTCGATCACCTGCTGAATTTCCCCTCCGAGACCGACCCCAGTTACGCTCTGCCGAAGCCGGTCGGCGATGCGCGCTTCGAGTACCCAACTCTGGGATCGCGCTACCCGGATTACCACTCGACTGTCTCCGTCGTTGACTTGCGCACCACCAACAACCGTCTTCCAGGCGCCAAGTACTATGAGGGCGACATCACATCCGTCGACTCCATGTTGGAGGTTTTCCGCGCTGTCAAGCCCGATCTTGTTATTCACACTGCGTCACCATCTATGATTGAGGGCAACAAGCCCCTGCTGCACAAGGTTAACGTGGAGGGAACACGGACGCTCCTTGAGGTTGCTGGTGGTGAGCATGGCGATTGGGGTGGTAAATGCAAGGCGTTTGTCTACACTAGCTCCAGCTCGGTGGTCCACGACACACAGAGTGACCTGAAGAATGTCAATGAGGAATGGCCTTATATCCGGGGCCCTGCGCAGAAGGAGTACTACTCCGAGACTAAGGTGAGCTCCTATTACTTTTTAAATCGGAGTTTAATCAGGACCAATCACTAATCAGACCCCTTGCGTCTATCAAGGCCGATGCCGAGGAACTCGTCCTGAAGTACAACAAGAAGTCACCCAACGCGATGCTGACAGCCGCTATCCGCCCGGCCGGAATCCACGGAGAGAAGGATACAACAGTCACACACAAGATCTTGGAGCACGGATCCCAGGCTTCGGACAGAGTGCTGCGAATGCAGCTCGGCGAGAACGACAATCTGTTCGATTTCACCTACGTCGGCAATGTGGCTTACGGCCACCTGCTTGCTGCGCACCGGCTTCTCGCGAGCTATGACCTTATTGCGGCTGGCAAAGGCGGGCCCCTTGACTACGAGCGCGTGGACGGCGAGGCTTTCAACATCACCAATGATTCCCCCGTCTATTTCTGGGATGTCACTCGTGCAATGTGGGCTCTTATCAACCGTGTCGTGGAGCCGGAGCAGGTCTGGGCTCTGCCCGAAGGTCTCCTTCAGACTGTCGGTGGCATCGCTGAGACTGTTATGGGATTGTTTGGCAAGACCCCGCGTCTCACTGCCCGGACAGTGCGATACTCATGCATGACTCGCTACTACTCGACTGAGAAGGCCAAGTACCGCCTGGCTTACTTGCCTGTTGTGCCCTTGGATGAAGGAATTGCCCGTGCCGTTGGATACATTGTTGCCCAAAAACAAGCGGACGCAGGAAAGAAGGCACTGTAATTTTGAAATTAGATCATGAGATTCAAAGGCATCTTATGCTGTATTAATATGATATAATACATCCATCCATGGATCTTACACAATGCACGTGACTTCATTATCTAATAGGAATGTGGGCCATTGGTCCATCAGCCTGTGCACCTTCCCATGGTTCCGTCAAAAATGTGTGGCTCGCAGTGTAAATGGTCACGTGGAAGTGGATGGGCTTGTATGTATGCCTTACTAGTGCTGCAACCCGACAAAGACATCCCGCAAAATTTGATTTAATAACAAGCGACCCTCCTATCTCGCCCTACAACTCATCAGAGTTCAAATCTCAAATTGCCGTGACAATGTCTGATCCCGATAAACAGTGTTCGGGGACTGATTGCAACAATGAAGCTAGGACATTGCAATGCCCGACTTGTTTGAAGTTAGGCGTCAAAGGCAGCTACTTCTGCAATCAGGATTGCTTCAAGAGGAATTGGGTGGGTTGAATCAACGGACATTCTTCTAACTGAAATCTAACATTGATCCTATCCAGACCACACACAAGGTGGTTCACAAGACACAAAATGGTAGCCACCTCATCTAGGTGGGATGCACCAGTTATTCATTCTCTAATTGCGATATAGCTAGCCAACTGTATGACCCTTTTCCGGCATACCCATACACTGGCTCTGTCAGACCTGTATACCCACTCTCCCCGCGACGACCTGTTCCCAAAACAATCAAGCACCCCGACTGGGCCGAGACTGGCATTCCAAAGCGTGAGATGCGCCTAAGTAGGTCAAAATGGGACCTCTTAGATGTAAAGGGTCAGGAAGCCATGCGCAAGGTGTGTAGGCTGGCTCGGGAAGTACTCGACATAACTGCTGCGGCTATGAAGCCTGGCGTGACGACAGATTACCTTGATGAAATCTGCCATAATGCTTGCGTCGAGCGAGAGGTGAGTTAGAGTTAACTTTCACTACTACGTTAACCTTCCATTACTTTATGAACCATGCCAAGTTTCTCGCTAAAACCTGGAGCAGTCATATCCTTCTCCGCTAAACTACAACCACTTTCCTAAGTCGTTGTGTACATCTCCAAATGAGGTTGTATGCCATGGAATCCCCGACCAGCGCATTCTTCTTGATGGCGACATTCTTAACCTCGATATCTCTTTATATCATGGCGGATATCATGCCGATGTGAACGAGACCTACTACATCGGTGACAAGGCTGAAGCGGATCCGGACTCGATCAGACTTATCGAGACCACGCGGCAGACCTTGGATATGGCTATCGAGATAATCAAACCAGGTGTCCCGATTCGAGAGTTTGGTAAGATCATTGAGAAGCATGCGGCCTCTAGGGGTCTTGTCGTCGTCAAAACTTGGGGCGGCCACGGTATCAACT